CAACCGTTTGAGGTAATGTGCGATGCGAGTGGAGTGGCGCTTAGTATAGTATTGGGACAGAGGAGAGAGAAAATTATCCATCCTATTTACTATGCTAGCAAAGCTCTAAATGTGGCCCAGAAGAATTATACTGTGACTGAACAAGAGCTTCTTGCAGTGGTATTCGCATTCAAAAAAATTTGATCCTACGTGCTTGGTACTAAGGTCATAGTGCATACTGACCATTCTGCATTGAGATATTTGATGGCAAAGAAGGATGCAAAATCGAGGGTGATTAGATGGGTACTGCTGCTGAAAGAGTTTGATTTTGTGGTAAAGGATAGAAAGAGGACTGAAAATCAAGTTGCCGATCACTTGTCCAGATTGGAGGAAGAGGCTATGCTAAAGCTTAGTGATGGGGCTGAAATTAATGATGTTTTTCCAGACGAACAGGTATTGGCTGCTTCTCATTATCTGATTCCTTGGTTCACAGACTTTGCTAATTATTTGGCAAGTGATATAGTGCCCCCAGATTTGTCTTATCACCAAAGGAAAAAAGTTTATGCATGATGTGAAGAAATTCTTTTGGGATGAGCCTTATTTGTATCGTAGTTGTGCTGATGGAATTATTCGTCGTTGTGTTCCTGAGATTGAGATGTTGAGTGTACTTGAAGCATGTCATTCATCGCCTGTTGGTGGGCACCAGAGTGGTATTCGAACTGCACATAAGTTTTTGCAGTGTGGGTACTACTGGCCTACTATCCACCAAGATGCTCATGATTTTGCCAAGTCTTGTGATCGTTGCAAAAGAGAAGGAGGGATTTCGAAGAGGCAAGAGCTTCATATGAATCCTATATTGGTGATAGAGTTGTTTGATGTATGGGGCATTGCTTTTATGGGTCCATTTGTGAGTTCACACGGGATGAAGTATATTCTTGTTGTGGTTGATTATGTATCGAAGTGGGTAGAAGCAATTGTGCTTCCCAACAATGAAGGTAAAAGTGTCATCACATTCTTGAAAAAGAATATCTTCTCCAGATTTAGTACACTGAGGGCGATTATCAGCGATGGAGGTTCCCACTTTTGTAATAAGTTGTTCAAAGCGCTACTTGAGAAATATGGTGTCCGCCACAATGTAGCCACTCCTTACCATCCACAGACTAGTGGACAAGTTGAAGTGTCCAACAGAGAGATCGAACAGATTTTGGCGAAGACTGTGAATGCTAATAGAACAGATTGGTCAAGGAAGCTTGATGATGCTCTATGGGCCTATCGCACTGCATACAAGACTCCCATAGGTATGTCTCCTTACCAACTTGTATATGGGAAATCTTGCCATTTACCGATAGAGCTAGAGCATAAGGCTTTGTGGGCAATGAAGAAGCTAAATTTGGATTAGGGCGCCGCATCTAATCAAAGAATAAATGACTTGAATATGCTTGATGAGTTTCGCCTAAAAGCTTATGAAAGTTCAGCCTTGTACAAAGAGAAGATGAAGAGGTATCATGATCAAAGAATTGAAAAACGAGAATTTGTTGTGGGTGATCTTGTGCTTCTATTCAACTCTAGGTTGCTCTTGTTTCCAGGCAAACTCATATCCAAATGGACCAGGCCATTTTTGCTCACAAAAGTGCTTCCTCATGGAGTGGTTAAGCTTGAGAACAGTGATGGAACAAGGTTCATGGTTACCGGGCAAAGGATCAAGATCTATCTAGGAAACGCAGAAAGTGTGCAAGAAGTTGTGGAGGCCTATCATCTTGATGAAGTCTGAGTAATCAAGAGGCATGCGTCGTGCCGCGACGCTAAATCAAGCGTTGCTTGGGAGGCAACCCATGGTGTACAATATATTCAATAATAGGTTTTTGTTTTCCATCTAGCGGTTTCTGTGTTTTGTTGAGTCTCTGTATTAATTTAGATAGGTGTTTTAGTTTTTTTAGTGTTGGCTAGAATTAGCATAGGGTCCGTGTCTAAAAAGTGTCTGGAAAGTAAAAAGAAAAGGCTAAGGGCTGATACATGTACAGGGGCAAGAAGCAGAATTTGCAAAAAAATGTCTGGTGCAGCAGTCTACAAACCCCATCTACGGTCCGTTTTTCACTCCACGGACCGTGAATGGCGTCTGTGGACCCCAGGTAAGTCCCTAAATTTTTTTCAAGCGTTGACGTGATTTACGGTCTGGACCTACGAACCGTAGATCGACCTACGGACCATTAGCGAGGTCTCGTAGGTCGAAACCCTAGTCTGCCCGACCCGACCCGGACTTCCCCTATTTAAAAACCCCAAAGTTTAAAACATTTCCCCGTCTTTCCAAAACACTCATTCGCACCCTCACACCCTAAATCCCACAAATTCACTCCCTCGCACCACCCTCCATCAGATCTCCCTAAGAAATTCACCCCCAAAATCCACACACTCACACCCTTCCCTTCTTCCCCGCATATTCCTATCTTCAAGAGGGTCCGGTGTCTGGGTACGGTACACCATTTGGTCACATTTAGTCGGAGTCTAAGTTTCGGCAAGCAATCACACCACTCCTTGTTTCTCTTGTAAGGTAACTGACTGATCCCTCACTTTGAATTACGATTTATACCTTGAATAGGGTAAGTCGGGAGTGGGTCTTGACCTTGGGTAGCTAATCATCCCTAGATGCATACTAATTATGACATTTAGACGCCTTTGGGACGATGGTCAGTGATTGTAGGTAACTCTAACTTAAAACCAGTAGAACTACGAGTCTAAATGTAAGTTCCGACTTAGGCTTTCATCACTTGTATGAATGGTGTGCTTAATTGAATTATTGGACCCTCGAGAATGATAAACTAGCATGTGGAGTGTTGAAATGCATGAGTAGACTTTCTTAGTGTTGTTGTTGATCCTCTTGTATGGCCACAGGATAAGCACTAATGCACACTATTGGCCCAAAACAACCCAGGAGACCCCGTCCACGGACCGTCGTTCAGTCGACGGACTTTTGATCAGGTCCGTGGCAGGGGCACTTAGGAAATTTCCCTAGTTTCACACGACGGAGGTGGACTACGGTCCGTGGAATGGCCCATGGACCGTTCTGCATATCCGTCGTTCCCAGCTATGCCTATGCCCTGGTTACTTCTGACTTACGGAGCAGGTCCACGGTCCGTAGGTTGACCGACGGACCATTGGTTCCCTCCGTCAGTTACCACAGTAGGGTACTGAATTTTGTTTTTTTTGTATTGTTATTTTTTTCTCTCTCTTCTGTGTTGGGTACTAACATCTCCTCCGCAGGTACCATGATACAGAACAAGAAAGTCATCATAAACAGGGGCCGATCTAAATCTGTGGTGCCGACCTTACGACATGAGGATACCGACAGGCAACGAGACCCGGATTACTCACCCACACTTGCTCTGGCCACTCAGAACAAGTCCAAGAAGGTTCTCCCTGACGTAGTCACTGCCTCCCAGTCTGATGAGAAGGATACACTGATCGGGTCACCGACTAGGTCTGGGTCTGATTCTTTGTCCAACTCTGCTATCGGGTCTGAGTCCAGGTCCGACACCGGTTCAAGTGCACATGAAGCGGTTGCCTCATCTGATGAGGCATCTAGCTCTAACGGGATTTTCATCCCTCAAAATGACCAACCGGATCCTGTAGACGGAGAACCGAACAGATGGTGCGTCGAGGGGCAGTGGCAGATTTATCGTGACACCGGGATGAAGAATTCCAAGGAAAAGATGGCTAGTACGATTACGGAGGAGCGCAGAGTTCTCACCAGAAGCCTCCACACTATGCCAGATATCCACCAACTTTTCCAAAGGCACAAGTGTGAGTGGATGGCTCGTTATCCGGGCACTTATAACGTGGAGATTGTGCGAGAGTTTTACGCTTCCTTTGCTGCCACTCTGCGAGGGCGAATTCACAAAAATGCCAAGCCCGCAGCAACAAGACCCCCTCACATCCACCATGGTCTGAGGTGTCTCAGTGAACTTATCCCACACCACCATTAGTCGGTTCCTTTATGGCCCTAACCCTCACCACACATGGGCGGACTCCACCATTGAATTTGATTATCGATGGGAAATTGTCCGGACAGGAGCCTTCGGCCGAAATACAGATAAAAGGGAGGCGGTTATATCATGGCTGGCTCAGCATCTTGATTTGGATGCAAAGAGAGCGGAATGGGTTGTTGCGCCCCGGTTGGGTATTCAGAAGGCCACCCTTGCTTTGGCAGCCAAGTTCTTTTGGCTATTGGTTCGAAATAGATTGTCACTAACAATGGCCGATAATATAGTCACCTAGGATAGGGCGGTTATGGTGGCTGCACTGGTTGCTGGTTTGGATATAAATTTCCCTCGCCTGCTATTGGGAGAATAGCATGAGAAGGCTTTCAAGACCACCACCACCTATCCTTTCCCCTGTATGATCTTTCAGCTTTGCAGGGATGCAGGAGTGCCTATTTGGCACTGTGATAAGTTGGTTCATGTGGCTGGGACCCTTGACATTGGGTTGATTCAGGACGACCCGAATGTGGCAGCACCACACAGAGGGTCTCGAATAGATGTACCTATGGGCGAGGATCTAATACACATTGTGGGATAGATGCAGGGAGATGGGCCCCTCACACAGATTCGACTGATGAGCACCCAGCTTCCTCTTTTCAGACGGCTAGCCAGGCCCCAAGCTTATCTCGAGCCACTCTACTCTCCGGAACGAATATGATACCATTGGCTCGAGTTCAAAAGTTGGAGGGTCAAATGGCCACCCTGCTACATCACCTAAAGCCATGGATGCGGAAAATGATTGTTGAGTCTGAGGAGCGAGCTAAAAAGAGGATGGCAGCGATGATGGACCAAAATGCCCAAACTATTCACACACGCTTAGGTGTTGGAGAAGCCAGCACGTGCCCGTGGGAAGAGACACCGATCTAGTTGACACCCGAGCGCACGGAGGCGGATAAGGCCAGTAGAAAACAGCGCAAGTTAGACAGAGCGGCCATAAAAGCTTCCATCGTAGATGAGCAGTTGCGGAAGCGGAGATTCCATGAGATGATGGTGGGAGCACCAAGTTCTATGCCCGTGTCTGAGGTTCTGCCTACTTGGGCGATTAATCTTAGCACCAATGATGGTGCAATTAGAGTGGAAGACAACACTACTGATGGTGTTGTCCTTGTTGATACGGGCACTACTGAGGGTGACCCGAGTGTTGATTTAGCGGGCTCCAGGAAACCAAACTCACCCATTTGTTAATGGTTTGTCAGTGCTATGCGCCACAGGTTTGCTTCACCCAAATCCATTACTTTTTACTGTTTTTGTGTGCATTGGGGACAAGTGCACCTATTTTTGTTGGGGGTGGGGTAAATGGATTGTGAGTGATAGGGTGAAGTCTGAGTAACCCAATTCATAATCCTCTCTTGGGGTTTTCTTTCCTGTGTTCTTTTTCCCCAAGAGACTGTTTAATTTTTGTTGAACCGGCATGTGTTAGATCGTATGTGTAGAAGCATGAACAAGAATGAAGCATGATGGCTTATGATTTTGTGACACCCGTCCTAATTTTGTGATGTGTGCTAGACTTAGTAGGCTAAGATAAGTTGTCTGTGTTGGCTCTGAGTATGACATGATAATGAATCAACTTGATGGCATGACTTAAGCTGAAACTTGAATTGGGTAATTTGATCATCTGATAATGAAACTATGTGCCAAGAGTGTGAGAATAGTTGATTGTTCAAACAGTTTTTGGGCAAAACTAGAACTTGCCCGGTTAATCCTGCTAAGACAATTCAATCTAGAGGCTAGGAAGTGATCATAGGCCCTTGTTCTGATAAGTCCACAAATTGCCTAAAAGAGTGACACAACCAAATGAAATAAATGCTCTTTTTGATCCAAATGCTTTGAGCCTAAAATTAGACCATTTCTTTCTAAACCCCCAACTCACCTTCCCATAATCGCCTATGTCGGCCCTGGTCCCTCCTTGGACATGTGTACCTCGACTTAGGCCAAAAGCCTAAGTTGAGGGTGGCTAAAGTAAAGAGTAACGTTAATCTTGGCCCTGACCCGACATCGGGTATTGTGCACCTCAACCAATGGAAAATCCATAAGTTGAAGGTGGCTATGAAAGAGGAAACCAAAAGAAAAATGGGTATGAAAAGAGTTTGATGTTGAAAAAGAAAGGAGAGGATGTGACTTGTTGAAAGCTAAAGAAAAGGATAGAATGCAAGAAAAAGTTAAAAGTTAAAAAAAAAAACTACAAAGTCTAAAGTCACATCCATGGTTGAAGAAAATCAAGGGAAAGAGGTAAAACGGTAGGATGGCAAAAATAGGGCAAAAAGAGGTTGAAAGCCTAGTGTAATGTCAAGGAGGTTAGAAAGTCACTAAGAAGCACCCAAATGTACCACACCTGACCCTGAGCCTACGTTACAAGCCAAGAAAGTCCTATAGTGATACTAGAGTCTAGTTTGGAGAGTCTAAGCAGTGAAAATAAGGGCAAGCCTATGGTACTGAGCACTAATTGTACTTGAAGTTATTTCTGAGTGTGAGTGTTGAATGAATCCTTGTAGTAAAAGTCATATTCATTTTGCGAAAAGAGGGATTTCGTTTTAAGTAAGGGCATTAGTTACATTGTCGGAAAATTGGTACCTTGGTGATAGTAAAATAGTGTATGTTGTGTGTTGGTTGGTCGATCTTTGTCATGTTTTGATCCGCACAAGTTAGCTTGTTGAGTTTAAGAGCACAAAGTCGCACTTAAAGTAGAAGTCGGGATGAAGAGCCATGCGATTGCTTGGGCTGAAATTTTGCGCTTTTGTACAAGTGTCGTTTAGCGTCATAATGTGTTGCTTGAGGACAAACAACGATTTTAAGTTGAGGGTGTTGATGTACCGTGAGTTTTTGGTACTATTGATATTTTTCTCTTCGGATTTGTGAATGTCTAGGGCATTTGTGTGTTAATTTTATGTGTTTTTGCTGTAATTTCAGGGAATAAACTCAGGCGCTATTAGATGAAAATGTAGCTGAGGCAGGTGTTTAAAAAGAGTCACCTACGGAGACACGTACGGACCGTAAGATGAGTGATGCCCCATAGATAAAGGTCATGGGACGATCAGGCATGGCAAGATTGAAGCTTATGGAAATCTGACAAAGTGTGGAACCACGGTGGGGACTGACGGACCGTTGAATGACTTACGGTCCGTCCTGCAGCTCCGTAGAAGTGATCAGAGGAGTGGTTCCAGTACCTAAGTTGAAATAATCTAAGTATAGAGTGACGGAGGTTATTGACGGTCCGTCCTATCACTGACGGATAGTGTTGCTGGTTCGTGGAAGTTGACTGAGAGAGGTGGATTTGTGAAGATTTCAAATCGGCTAAGTATGGAGCCACGAAAGAGACCTACGGACCGTAGGTCAGCCTCGTGGAATGGAGACGCGTCCTGCAGTTTTATTTCCTTATTTTGTTTTCCTTTTATTTTAGGATTTGTTTTCTATAAATAGGGTATGTAAACCTCGTTTTTAGGGGGTTAGATCTTATTATTTTATTCTAGTTCTTGACTTGGGAGATTAACTTGCGACTTTAGCAATTCTTAATTTCCTAAGTTCATTTTGAAGATTTTGGTGTTGCAATTCAAGTTGAATTTCTAGGTTTATTATTCTTCGTACGTAAGTTCATAATTCTTTCATCTAAAACAATAAATTGTGTTCATATGATTATGGGTAACTAAACTCCACGACTAGGGTTGTGGGAACCATGAGCGATTAACAAAGTATGAATAGTAAATAAGCAATTCTTGAATAGTGTTTTGCATGCATTGATAATTCTTTCGCTTAGAAGTCCTTTCAACGAGTGCACGCGTTAGAACTCGCCTTGTTGCTACTTGCTGGACCTAGGAGGTAATCAATAAGAAAAGAATTGTCAACTTAGATTTAGTGTGATACTATCTAATAGGCTAGTGTCGATTGGTGCGAAGTAATAACTATGCCAAACATTGATTATGATGTCTAATATGAGGTAAAGGTAAGGGTTAGTAAATTATACACACAAAGCCGGACCAATGTGCGGGGTGAAATTCTCTAGATGCCGGACCAAGGATTTAGAGATACCTAACTTATCATTTTGCATGTAGTACACTAGGAAAGGATTGCTATTACTAGGATTACTGCGTTATGAGCTTGTGGGGAACACATATACCTTAGTTGATTTTCTCATCATGATAACAACCAAAATTGACTTTTGTTTACTGATTAATTACTGAATTCTTACAATTTGTTTCACAAAATCCCCCCCCCCCTTTTAATTACTTGTTTCTGGAAGTGATTTGACCAAACGAATATAATTGTTGGTTAAAGTTAAGTCTAGACCATTTTCCTCGTGGGATAGACCCCAACCTGCAAGTTGGGTTCTTTACTTGATAACAATCGCTTATGCTTCTTTAGGGAGGTGTAATTTGAGCGTGTCAACAACTCATAGCCCTCTTAGGCAACAACATGGCCCTGTAGGAAGCACATAGCCTTCTTAGGCATCAATATAGCCCTGTAGGCAACTCATAGCCCTTCTAGGCATCAATATAGCCCCGTAGGCAACTCATATCCCTTTTAGGCATCCATATAGCCATGTAGGCAGAACATAGACCTTCTAGGCATAGATCACATTCTTGGAGCTAACCACAATAGCCCTAAGGGCAACAATAACAATTCAATCGCTATAAACGAGCAATTTAGTTATAAGCAACCTATACAAATAGCCTCTAAGTCGTGTCCAATATAAGGACGCTACTAACTGAATAAGAATACCGACAACGGAGGATTATATCAACTCGAGCAGCCAATAATCAACAATAATGGCTACAAGTGTAACAAGGATAACAACTCAATTACATTGCTCCTAAGCTTTAAGGAAAGATACCGTAAGTAGGGAATAGCCTTAACATACATTTCCAATGAACGCTTGAAAGACCGTAGTTCCTTCACGAAAGTTGTTTCTTATGTCCTAAGCTTCGCAAAAACTATATATACACAGTTGGTACGTACCTATAAACAGTTCATAATTAATCTTAAATCGGCAGATTTTCCATATTGCCCCAACTTGTCAAAATGTCCGTAGAAATTCATAAAAACAACCATAAAAGGGTCCCGAGATGATTACCTTAGTTAACCAAGTGTAAACCTTGAAGAAACACTAATAACTACAAATTTATATCTTCAAAAACCAGCTCCAAACGTAGTTAATAGAAGGGAAAAAGATTGCCACATGTAGGGATTATGTTTCTAGGCACGGGGGCAATGTTTAATGTAGAAATCGTCAAAAACTAACCTTCATCATGCTAGAACTCCATAGGAACCCTCTCTTAAGCTTTTTCTCTAGTTTGGAACTGAAATGAAATGTTTTCATGGCTTAAAACATTAAATAAGCCGACATACCATATTTTTGACCCGACCCGGATTCTTCCCCGGCAGTCCCTAGTAAAACCCTCATAACTTTTTACTATGATGTCGGTTTGATACGGGGTTCTGTGTGTTGCAAACTAGACTCATAGGCCTTCGATTTAATGGTGATAGGCCTTCTAACTCTTTATATATTAGGAGAAAACATCCAAGACATTTGACCTAAATTTTAGAGAAATCATTAAAAAGGAACTTACGATAACTTTTGCCAACTTTTATTTCGCCACTTACTTAACTTCAAAACTTGAGATACAACCCTTGAACACTTAAAATATGACATACCACATCATTTTAATTTATTACTCACCCTCCATGTCTTTCCACGAAGATACGAGTTAATTTAGACGTTTTGAAAAGTCGGGGTGTTACAGAAGTTCACTATCACCAGCACCATAATCCGACTCCTGAACTTGAAAGGAATGTTTAGAGGATTTGTTGGTGGCAATGCCAACTAATATCTAATGAACTTTATGGTTATTTGAAAATCATAGGAGATTCCTAGGGTTAATCAAACAGCCATGAAGTTAAGGTTATTTTTATTGTCTTTAACTGGGGAGGTGACAAACTGGCTGAATGAGTTGCCAAACGACTCAATCAGGACTTGGGTTGAGCTTAAGGAGGCATTCTTAGAATGATTCTTCCTTGAAGACAAAGAGCTATAGAATGAAGTATGAGATAGGTGCTCATAAACAACTACTAGGGGAAGCTATGCATGACACTTGGTGGAGATTTAGTCAAAAGATGAAGAAGTGCCCAAACCATGGCCTCGCTTAAAAGCATTAAAAGCGATTACTACCAGAAGTGGTAAGTTTCTTCCTGAACCAAAACTTGTAGGTATTTAGCAGGAACAAAGCATAGAAACAGATGAGGAAGCAGAGAGTGATATTGAGACTGTGAATGATTCTGAGGTGGCTAAAGAAGTAGATAAGTCGTCAAATGTAAAAGAAGTTATAGTAGAGGTAACGTTTACTTTACAACAGATACCTAGACCTCCTTCTCTATTTCCTCAAAGGCTCAAGAAGAAAGCTGAAGATGGGAAATTTGCTAAGTTCATATCTATTCTTCAGCATCTATCAGTGAACATTCTGTTGGTAGAAGATTTGGAGCAGATGTCAGGTTATGCTAAGTTCATGAAGAACTTAGTTACAAAGAAGAGAGCTACATGTTTCTAACCAACCGATAATATTCATCATTGTAGTGCTATTGCTACTAGGTCTTTGGTGCAAAAGAAGGAAGACCCAAGTGCATTCACTATACCATGCACTCTTGGCGTTTTTGAGTTCGCAAAAACCCTATGTGATCTGGGGGTGAGCATCAATTTAATGCTATTAGCTATATACAAGCAACTGGGGTTGGGGGTTCCAAAACCCATCGCATTGAGGTTGATGATAGTAGATAGAGAGGTGAAGCGGCTTGTGGGTATTTTGTGTGATGTACTTGTGAAAGTGGAAAGTTTCATTTTCCCTGCTGACTTTGTGATTCTGGATTGCGAAGTAGATTTTGAGGTTGCCATAATTTTAGGAAGTCCATTTTTTGCCACAAGCAGAGCTTTAGTTAATGTTGAGAGTGGGGAGCTGAAATTTTGACTTAATAATGAAGAAGTGAAGTTCAAAATATGAAAGTCTATGAAGCAGCCGCATGATATGAGTGTGGTGTCTAAAATCGATATTGTTGATGACGGTGATATAGAAGCATCAATTGAAGAGAGGTGTGTTGTAGACACATTGGCGGCAGTGATAATGAACTTCAATGAAAACTTTCAGGATGATTATGTGGAGACTCGAAATGCCCCACAAGGCATGGGGTAACATTCATATTCTCCAAAGAAGTTAGAGTTAGACTTGAAGAACAGGCCAAGTCCACTAGCAAAGCCATCTATTAAGGAACCGCTTGTACTTGAGTTAAAACAGTTACCTAGCCACCTGAGGTATGTCTTTTGGGCACTAATAAGACGTTGCCTGTTATTTTGCTATAGATATTCATAATGAATATGCAAGCAGTAGTGAAAGTCTTGACGAAGTTCCAGAAGGCAATTGGTTGGATCATTGCTGATATCATTGGGATACCTCCAGGTATTTGCACCCATAAAATCCAACTTGAGAAAGATTACAGCCCAAGTATAGAGCATCAGAGGAGGTTGAACCCACCAATGCAAGATGTGGTAAAAAAGGAGATTATCAAGTGGTTGGATGTCGGGGTAGTGTACCCCATATCTGATAGTCACTAGGTTAGCCCAGTGCAGTGTGTGCCCAAGAAGGGCGGTATGACAATGGTCGCAAATACGAAGAATGAGCTAATTCTGTATAGGCCAGTTACAAGTTGGAGAGTGTGCATGGACTATAGGAAGATGAACAAGTGGACCTTGAAAGACCACTTTCCAATGGCATTCATGGACCAGATGCTTGATAGGTTAGCTGGTAAAGGTTGGTACTACTTTTTAGATGGATACTCTGGTTATAATTATATATCAAGTGCTCCAGAAGACTAGGAGAAAACCACCTTCACATGTCCTTGTGGTACTTTTGCATTCAAATGCATGTTGTTTGGATTGTGTAATGCACCAACAAATTTTTAGAGGTGTATGATGTCCATCTTCTCGGACATGGTAGAGGACACATTGGAAGTGTTCATGGATGATTTCTCTGTGGTAGGTGACATTTTGATAACTGTTTGTTAAATCTTAGCAGGGCACTACAGAGATGTGAGGAGGCTAACCTGGTGCTAAACTGGGAAAAATACCACTTTATGGTCAAATAAGACATAGTCCTAGGCTATAAGGTGTCACAGAAGGGTTTGGAGGTAGATAAGGCATAGATCAAGGTGATTGAAAATCTGCCCCCACCTATCTCTGTAAAGGGATTCAAAGTTTTCTAGGTCATGCAGGGTTGTATCGACGCTTCATCAAAAGACTTCTTAAAATTTGCACACCCCTTGTGTAAGTTGTTAGAGAAAGAGGTGAAGTTTGTTTTTGATGAAGCATGCACAAAGTCTTTTGAGTGCCTGAAGGCAAAACTGATCTCTACCTCAGTGATCATTCATAGTAGTGGTGAATTCTTAAAAGACTTCATCAAAAGACTTCTTAAAATCTACTTGTAGTAGTGTATGCTTTTGATAAATTCAAGTCATATCTACTGGGTACTAGAGTGGTGATTCATACTGATCATGCAGCACTGTGGTACATAATGGCGAAGAAAGATGCAAAGCCACGATTGAAAAGATGGGTGTTATTACATCAAGATTTTAACTTTGAAGTCAAAGATAGAAGGGGTTGTGAAAATCAGGTGGATGATCACCTGTCCAGGTTGGAAGCAGAAAAGAAGGAAGAAGATGAGTTAGACATTGATGACTCATTCCCGAATGAGCATGTATTAGCCGCTACTCTTGATCTCATTCCTTGGTTTGCTGACTTTGAAAATTATCTTGTCAGTGAGTCGATACCGGAAGGACTAACATTTCAACAAAGGAAGAAATTCCTACATGATATGGGTAAGTATTTCTGGGATGGGCTCTACTTATACAGGGTGAGTGTTGATAACATCATCAGGCGATGCGTACCTGCAGCTAAAATGCTTTGTATCCTAGAATCCTGTCATTAATCTCTGGTGCACGTACTGCCCACAAGGTATTCCAAAACGAATATTACTGGCCTATAATCCATCAGGATTCATTTGACTTAGTCAAAGGTTGTGATGTGTGTCAATGGGAAGGAGCTATCTCTCGTTATCATGAGCTACCAATGACTCATATATTGGAAGTTGAATTATTTTATGTCTGGGGAAATGATTTCATGGGACCATTTGTGAGATCCTATGGGCAGAAGTATATATTGGTAGTAGTCAATTATATTTCTAAGTAGGTTGAGGTTGTAGCCTTGGTAGAAAATGATGGTAAATGTGTTGCAGGTTTCCTGAAGAAGAACAACTCTTCAAGATTTTGCACACCTAGAGTCATTATCAGTGATAGAGGCTCGCACTTCTATAATAAAGTGTTCAACACACTTTTGGCCAAATATAGGGTGAAACATCTCAAAGTGGCAACGCCTTATCATCCGCAAACGAGTGGTCAAGTAGAAGAGTCAAAGAGGGAGATCAAAATCAACATTGGCGAAGACAGTGAATGCCAATAGAACAGATTGGGTGAGGAAGTTAGATGATGCTTTATGGGCATATCGAAAAGCTTTCAAAACACTCATTGGTATGTCACCATATCAGTGAATGTTTGAAAGGCATGTCATTTGCATGTAGAGTTGGAGCATAAGGCACTTTGGGCATTGAAGAAGTTAAACTTGAGTTGGAATGAAGCACCGAACATGATATTAGATCAAATCAATGAAATGCATGAATTTCGCTTGAGAGCTTATGAGCGATCTGTGTTATATAAGGAAAGGATGAAGTTGTATCACGATAAGCACATTAAAAGTGACTTCGGTGTTTCAGTTGGGTGTTATTGAACTCGAGAATGCAAAATGAGAGAGGTTCAAAGCAAATGGTCAGTGAGTCAAAGCATACTTGGGAGTCCCGGTAGAGGAAAAGATAGTTGAGGAGTTCAAGCTTGATGAAGTCTGAGTAATCAAGTAACATGCGTTGCGTCGCGACGTTAAATTGTGCACTACTTATGAGGCAACCCATGATGTAATTGTAATAGGTAATTTCAATTTTTGTATAATTTCATTAGTTTTATAGTGTCACGGTGTGTGCATGTGTGTAGGAAAGGTTTGGAAAAAGTTGAGCTAAGTCAAAGCCTGAGAGTCTCTCACACGAGTTGTGGTGAGCTGTACGAGCCACTTCACGATTCGTGAAGTCTACAGGCCAAGAACAGGAGACCACTGGAAAATGAAGAAAAATGGTTCACGGAAGGGTTTACGGTCCGTTTGACCTTAGACGGACCTTTAGCCTCTCGTGAACCTACATGTAAGTTTTCTCCCCAAGTACAGTTCACGGGCATTCACACGGGCCGTGCTACTCTTTACAAGCAACTTCACAGACCGTCACGGGTAAGTCAGCAGCGACGATCCCGACCCAACCCACACGACCAGAAACCCAAATTTAATGTTTTAAAAGTAGTCCTAGCGCCAACAGTCAGGTTCTTTCCCCTTCACTTGTAACATCTCTTTGGGATATTAAAATGGTTTAAAGTAAGTTCTTATCCCTACTTGATATAAGTTTGATCTTATCTATAATCAAGTTAGAAGTACTAATTTTTGTTCGTGTTGTGGTATTATTACTTGATGATTGGTTTTTGGAGTTCATATGTTGTGGCTGTGAGGTAAATTGTTGAAGTCCTTGAGTATAAGTTAATTCTACATGTAATTTGTAATGGGTTATGGAAAATTGATGGAATAATGTGTGGAAATGTTACTAAATCAATGAAAACAAAGTGAAATATTGATGATATAAGTTGTTAGACTGTGGGTATGGACGAAATCGGTAAATCATATGATAAATTGTTGAAATTGATGCTTATGTTGTGTTATGCTGAATTAATAAGTTGAATGAAGGCTACGAAAAGACTAAAGGAGTCGTTTTTGGGTGTTGGTGATTAAGAAAAGTGATAAAAGTGAGTTGATATAGTAAACCGACTGAAATATTACCCAAGTGTAAGTACACGAGGGAATTCACGGACCGTGTAAGGGTGCATGGGTCGTGAAACCCTTCGTGAACCACACCTGGGTGATAGATGGGCACTGGGCAAGGTTCACAAGGACTGAAATGGAACGTGGTACTCTTCACGGATCATGAAGTCTTCCGTGAACTTCCACCAATAAGTTGGTCTTCACTGTTTCATGTTTACTGGGTCCAAAATGAGTCGTGTTGTCCACCACAGACCGTGTAGTACTCCGTTATAAAAAAAACAAAACATAGTTTTGTCTTTTATTATTTTTAGCTGTTTCATTTTTATTCACTATGTGGCCCTTCCTAATGATAGATTGGGTGATGACATTCTTAAGGAAAAGAATCACATTGTATACTTAAATAGGGAAAGTATGAGTACTCGTTAGTGCATCAATTGATGGTTGTGAGTACTAACACACTACTTTTTAGGTATCATGAAACCAAGGCAAAAAATTGCACAGTTGCACCTCTCACCACCTCTTTCCCCGATCAAAGTTCTCCTACTCAAAGTTCAAATGCGGAAGAATCTAGCACTTTTGAGGTCCAAACCAACACTACACCCGAATATCACTCCCCTCGAGCCACTAGATCCTGGATAGCCAGGGCTACTATTGACCACACTTTTTCCAAGTCTGAAGAGAAAGAGAGTGAGTCTGGGAGCAGGCAAGATTTTGATGATAAGTCCTGAGCATCTACAAATGAACCTTAACCAAAAGAGGATGCAGAGGAGGAAAATGAGGTCCATGAGGATGATGCTGACGGTACATTAGGGGTGCCGATGGTGCAATATGTTCACCGGTGAGAGTCGGACCCAGTAGTGAGATAACAGTTAATTGAGTGCTTTCACTAGATGTGGTCCATACCTACATCAGAGGAGTTCTTCAAGTATGGTATATTATTCAAGTCTGGTGGTTTTGGAGGGCGACCTATTATCCCCGAGTACAGAGTAGTAGAGGCAGATATTCATGTGTTCT